ATAACCCATTACAGTTCCCTTACAAGACATATTAATCTCGTGGACTTCATCTAATTAGACTTATAACTCATTATAATTAATATCTTATTGATGAAAGAAAACCTCTAATCATTCAATATCAATGATATTGTTGCATGTTTGAAATCAAACCTTAACCAATCCCAATTGGCTGCAAAGCTCATCCTAACACGTTTCATACTAGGGATGTGCACCCACATTCCTTGAAATATATTCAATTAAATTATATTGCAATGTTTATTTTGAAACAAGCCAATGCAATAGCCAATGGAATGTAAAATTGCAATGTATTTACATTACAACAAATTGATGTAATGTGATTATATTGAAAAACCAATTCAATATCAAATTACAACTTACTCTATAATGTTGCCAAATTTGATTTCACATTTTTACCCTTTCTCAATCAATAAAATTATAAAACTTAATTTTCTCACTTTAAAACAGTTTGAAAAATTAGAAATATTTTAAATTTTTTAAAAAATCTATAAATTTTTAAAAAACATAAAAGTAATTTGTTAATTTTTAAAAATTCTAAAAAAAATTTTAAAACCCAAAATAATTTTTAATTATTAAAAATTCTAGAACAATAAAAAATAGAAATAATTCTTATTTTTATGAAATTATAAAAGATTAGAAAATCCATAAAATAAAAAATGTATTCTCTATAATTATTAATAAAATTTTAAAAATAAAAAATATTTCTTTTTTACTTTCATTCTTTTTCAAGAAATCTATTTTGTTTTTTTTTTACTTTTTCTAAAAAGAATTATTTCCATTTTTAATGTTTTAGGAATATTTCAAAATAATAACAATAACAATATATTTTAAAATTGTCAAAATTGCTAATAAATAAAAAGTTATTTTCAAATTAATATTAACATGGATTTGCTAGATGCTTGGTTATCTTTTGGAAAATTTATTTAAGAGATATCATATAAATATCTACAATAAGAAAAAAATACAATCATATTCTACTTGAATTTTAATATATAAGGATAATTCTGAAAATTAACATTACATGTTCAATAAAATGCTTATAAATCAAATGCTGTAATATTATTTTTTTAGTATTTTAATCACATTTTTTTAATAGATCAAATACTGTAATGTTAAATATCGAGAATCACATTCTTTACAATCATATTTCTGATTATGTTGTAAAACACCAAACACAGAGAGTCAATGTTTCATCGTTGATGAAATTTACGGGACCGTGGCAAGATAGCAGCAGCATTCTTGTTGACCATGTTAAAGGCCTAAAGCTAAAAATCCCCATGACCTCTCAAGAAAAGATACTCCCAAACCAATCACGAAAGCTACTTATACAGAAGTTCTTTTAATACAATTTTACTGCACCATTTGTTACTTATATAGATTAAAAGTGTTCTAAGAAAAGGTTTTTTTTTTTTAATTTAATGCATTATCTTTTTCAAAAATTTAAGAAGGGAAATTATACATTAATTCACAAACTTTTTTACATAAATATCATCTTAAATTTTATGAATAGATACCAATTAATCTCTGCATGCACTTATAATACAGTTGTTAGTTTCATTATTAGCTATATTTATTTATCATGTCCACGAACTTCAGCATTTACTCCAACCTCCATAGGTTTTTCCATTCCCTTTTTTCACCGATTGTTTTAATTTCAATTATTATTAATTCAAAGCAATATTTGAGACGTAAGGCACGAGGATTGAGGATGAGAGTGAGCGAAACCAACGATATGCAAGTGAACGTAGCTCATCCACTGAAATCAATGCTAGAATGATCCTCATACGGATTAAAGTCTCCCCGAAAGGAACATTTGTGGCCCGCAGGAAATTTCAATTATTATTTTTTTAACGGAATACAAGAAATTTCAATCAACTATTCCACATGTATAGTGCTATTGAAATGACAGGAATCAATGCCTTGCAAGGGTACATAATTAGATGTGAATTAACAGAAACAAAAAACCTTAGAGAAAGAGAAAACCATGTTGCTGAAATATCTATTCCCACCTTCCCTGTTCTTCACTGCAACTTCTTTGCTAACTTTGGCCTCCATGGCGAACGGTGGGTTAGCAGAAGTAAGAGGGAAACATGTGCAATATTCCAAGTTCTTTGGTGTGGGTTCACAGGGTTCGAAAGCATCCCAGATCATGCTCCCAACCAGAGCTGCCATGGTTATAGTTTATACACCAGGCTTCCTCAACGGGGTCGCTTCATTCCTGCTTTTCCCGGATGAGGGTTTCAGATTTCTGTTGCTGAAATCTGCGATAACCATCCATTTCAGCAAGAGAGTTTTCGAGGTATACATCTTTCTCTTCCCAAGACATATTATTAAGGAGTTTTTATCTAAAGATTAGGAGATATATACACTTACTATTTAACCAAAAACTGAAATAACTCATATCATATTCTTGTAAAATAACAAAAATTGCGACCCTTGACGTAGCCTGGTAAATTTTTTAGTTAAACATTAAAAAGCGATCAAAAGGACTTACTAGTTATTTTTTTCTTTATTTTTTTTTTTGAAAGGAAAAGGACTTACTAGATATTGCCATTTTGGTATTTTCATCTTGATTTTTTAGATTTGAGAAAATCGTTTTTCTTAGTAAAGAGAGACAAGAAGAGAAATGAGGAGAGAGAAGAGAAAGAGTTGGCAAGAGTTACTATTGCGAGTGCAAGAAAATTTTCTTGAGAGAACATTAACATGTGTTAAAATCCATGATGAATTTAAAATTAAGAATAATATATAATTTTCTGGGGAACTTGAGTAAAAATAAAAATTAAATCTCAAAAAACTTCTAATCTAAGCAACATCGAGTATTAATATTTGTTTATTTAGATATAAAAAAGGAAATATTATACAACTGATGAATTTAGAATTTTTACCCAAACCACATCGATCTCAAAGTTATATATTTGAGCTAATTTCTCAGTGTTATCATTTTTTAAAAATCTTTCCTATTAAGAAAATTGCTTTACAATTCCACCTTATTTCTTCTTCGCCGTAATAAAATTGTCATAGAATCATCCAAAACATTTTCACAACAATTTTACAGTCTTTTCACACTCGAATATTTGACTCATTAGTTGGTACATGATCTTTATGTTTAGAGAGTAAAGTTCAAATCTCTTTTTTCACAATTTTTTTTTAAAAAAGAAGAAACTTTATAGTCCTATTGCTTCTGGTCTAGATGAGTCAAAAGTCTGATTTTTGTTACATTGTTCTGCAGGCCCTTTTTATTCATAAATACAGCGGTAAGATGGGTCTCGACACACTGATATTCATACTTGTGAGTTATTTGGTATCCACTGCAAGCATGATTTACTCGCAACACCTCACACAGGGAGTCCCAGAGCCACCAATTGATTTGAAATACCCTGGAATTGTTTTGTTTCTAATAGGAGTAAGTGGAAACTTCTACCATCATTACCTCCTCTCCAAGCTGAGAGGAAAAGGTGACAACGAATACAAGATTCCCAAGGGTGGTTTCTTTGCATTAGTGGCATGCCCTCACTATCTATTTGAGGTATTAGGGTTTTGGGGAATCACTTTCATTTCCCAAACATTATATACATTTTCATTCACTCTAGGCTCTACCTTGTACTTGATGGGTAGGAGTTATGCCACTAGGAAATGGTACCTTTCCAAATTTGAAGATTTCCCAAAGGGAGTCAAGGCTATGATTCCATACATATTCTAGATATATATTTATGTGTGTGTCGGTGAGATGCCAAACCTTATTCAGCTCAACCCCATACAAATAAAGCTAAACTTTTTGTCCACATGGCTGCTATAGTGTTTTTGTATTTATTTTTCATATTTCTTCCCTCTCTTTTGTTTTTTGGGGCTTTCTTTCTTTCTTTTATTCTTTTCTTTTTTTTTCCAATGCTTCTCATCCGTTGACCAACTTCTGACAAAGTGGTAAAATGTTCATTTTAAAATTTAAGGGTTACCGGTTTCTCTTAAGGACCCAAGCTATAACTTTGCTCTAACTAAGATACAATTTTTTTATTTATCCATTTAAATATCAATTTAAACGAAGTGAGGAGGGTGTTTGTGAAAAAAAATATGATTAATTATTGCATTGATAAGTTGCCCGTCTATCCTAAGAAAGTTGTCATTGACCTTTTTATGGTTTTTTCCCTTAAATTTTGACTTAAATTTTAAATATATATATATATATATAAATCTAAAAATTGAAGGTGACAAAGAGCAAATGGAATCCAAAAACCCGTTCCAAAAAATAAAAATTCACACTTGAATTGACAATGAACTTTTTATGGTTTTTTCTTTGAATTTTTACTTAAATTTTAAATTTATATATATAAATCTAAAAATTGAAGGTGACAAAGAATAAACGGAATCCAAAAACCCATTCCAAAAACTGAAAATCCAAACTTGAATAGACAAGAAATTAGAGACTCAAATTCAAAGAAACTCAAACTCGAAATATGACCTCAGTTGTTCTTTTCTTATTAATTTATGATGTAATAGTTGCACTTCTTAGAGTTGGCTTCTAATTAAGAATGTGAAATTTGTTTATTTGCAAGTTGAGATAATTTGATTCAATTTTTTCTAGAAAAAGAAGAAAAAGAGAATTACCAAGCACTTATTGTGGCATAATAAAATCACTTACCACATCGTCAGTCAAGTTATGGAACATGGTTATCCTAGTTAGTAGCTTTACTCAATTCAACAATTCATAAAAGCAAAAGGATACGCAAACTATTCAAATCCTTTATAACCGATGCTTAAAAACACTAACGCCCAAATATCACCCTAAAACCCTAATAACTTATATAAAATAATCTAAATAAAGTGTATATAATATGTATATATATATATATATTTGAAATAACAATTAAACACCTAAAATATTACAATGGTATGAAAAAAAAATTGAATTCTAAATTGTGAATTGTATGAAGGAGGATGATGTGTATATATATACAAAACTTTCAATAATCTTATAGAGAATCAAGTTAATACAATTGCAATTGTATTGTAATCTAACCATATTAAAATTTAATAAAATCACACAGATTTAGCCCTTAATGTATACAATTGCTACAATTATGTTAATACCTCACACCTCAAAATGTTTATTCTTATTGAAGATCTGATTATT